TATAATACATCCATATGGGATATTGGATAGTGTCATGTTTCCTGACTTTGAACTTTGTAAACAGGCTCCTGTCATTTTGTGCATGCCATCAATAATTAACATTTCCAGTTTTTCTTTTTTTTTGAAACAAGTTCTCACTATGTTCCTCAGACTGACATCAAATTCCTGGGCTTACATGATCTTGCCACCTCAGCCTCTTATCTAGCTGAAACTATAGGCAAAAGCCACCACATCTGACTGCTGCTCCCACCTTTCTGAAGTGGAATCACTAAAAAGTAAAACTGACTTCCCCCTTTTTTGAAGGTCTGCAAAACAATGCTGAGCAATTTGATACAGACTTCAGAAAAAAGTCTCCACAACAAACATCTGGGGGCCTGTTGTCATATAGAACACTGAGATATCACTGGAGACAAACTGAAGAATGCTTCAGGTTTAACCTCTAGAAATCTTTTCAACTGACTACTCTCTGTACTCAAAAGCTGGGTGGGTTAATAACTTACTTCCATGATTATCACCATTAATCAATCTTTGTGAGTTTTTTGGGGTTTTTTTTATTATTTCTTTGTTTATTTCCAAGGAAATTCATTCTACTCTCGCATTATTTCAGACCTAACTTAGATGGAGCCCACCTTCAACATCACCTTTTAAAATAAGACTCACCTGCTTATCTAAACTACATTACTCATATTACTAAGAGACTGAGGCAAGAAGATACTGGACAATATAATTAGATTTGAACTTTTCTGTTTGTTTTAATTTATGTTATTTTATCCCTTTGTAAATATCTTGTCACTCAGCTACCAAGCTAATTCTTCTCTCCACAGCCACCAAGTCAGTTTCCTTAGAAGTTTCAGACATGGGCATAAGGGAGATAAAAATATATCACTCTGCCATATTAACTGTTTAAGTTAAAGGCATTTAAAAAATAACAGGTGCAAAAAAGACCACTTTAACCTTTGTGCTATTTCTTCAAAGCAGAAAATGAAATTCCCTCCCTGTACTAGAAATATGCAACTTTCTCATCCTGAAGGACAAGAAGTTGAAGCCAAGAAAATTCTGAATAGACCTTGTGAAAAATAACTCATATTTTTTGAGTCCCCTCTTTGTTTATGTGTTTATTTGTGTTTAGAAGCCAATGGAGAATTTATTCCAGGGTAATATACTTCAAAATACTATAGAACTACACAAATTAACTGACAATCTATGAGAAAAATGTTTTACAGAGTTATTCAGTAAATTACATTATAGTTAACAATAAATAAATACAAAAATTAATTTAATTTACATCTAAAACTATATTGTGTTTGCTATAATTAATATAAGATTCCAATTAACAGATGCTATCATTAAGAATTGTCCATCTAAATAAACAAATATGTAACTTCTTAGGGCCCAAGTTGTTTCTTATTTACACTTAGAAATTTACACATTTCCTAGCCTATAAAAAGATTAAACAAGAAGTGATATCTCCATTTCCACACTATTTTGCAGCAGATATATTTTCTAAGCTCAAACTACAATTCGAACAATGTTTTACAGACCTCGTTGCTCCTCCATTTCATTTATTTAATCAGTAAATAAATAACTGACTCTACTCATTTGGATCTTTGTTTCCTTATGAGGATTCCTATGCCATATAAAAGTTCTATTATGCTTTTCTCCTGTTAATCTATGTTATATCAATTTAATTCTTCAAACTCAGCTGAGACTTTAAGAGATGGAGGTGAAATTTTTGTGCTCCTACACCATTTAATACTAGCCAAACTCACATAACAAGTCTGTATTCTCTTTATAAAGATTAGAAAAATCTGAAGTTGTATAAGTTAAATAATACAAATCTAAATGCCAGAACCCAGATCTATTTTTTCCAAAGCTAATTTTACCTGCTACATACACATAATGGAGTTTCATTTACATAAAAAAATCAGATTTTCAAATCAAAACAACCAGAAATCTTCCACAGTATTAAATTTTGTTAAATTTCAAGAATACAAGCAATGAAGGGGTTCATGCGGAGCAGATTATATCAGATAGTTGCAGAATTTATATGACAATTTGCAGGAAGCCATCCACATAAATCCGCAGGTTTGTTTACTATAACCCATCATGGACAGTTAAGTAAATCCTGGTAAAGATTCTACCCGCTAGATAAAAACTTCCTGCTAGTAAACATCACTGATGTGTTTGCCAGGAATCTGTCATTAACATGTTATAAGGAGATTAGATCTGGCCACCTATTTTCATTCTTTCTAAGGGTGACACATCCCCTAATTCAACCCAGCAAGAGAATGGATTACAGACCTGCTGTGTTAATCATTTAATTCCCTCCAGGAGCTCTAGTTTTTTATTCCAAATTTCCTCTCTCTCCAATTCTATTCATAGTTAAATGAACTTGGCTACAGAAATATGAAATTCTACACAAATATAAATGTTTCCATAAACTGTTTCACAAAAAAAATTTATGAGATTGTATAAGTGTCTGACATAGCTGTTTTATAACCCAATTATTTCACCCCCACCAATTTTAAAAGATAACATTTCTCAACTTAAGGACATAGTGAAATAAGGGGCAGAAAGTAATTTCATGATATCCTTCTCAGAGCAGAGCCAGAAGCTTCAAACCAAAACTCAAGTTTTCACAAAATTTCACTATAGCAATGAATCAAACCACAGGTATTCACAGCTGGTATTTTTAGTGACCTGGAAAAAAAAAAATGAACTGTTATGTGAATGCAAATGAAAACAGAGAAATGTATAAAAAATTATAATCACTTTCTCTTAGTGCATCTATATTCGGTCAGATAGGGTCTCCAGGTTCACATAAATCAGTTCACCTCATTGGCCATCACGGAGAGGTTAAGAACCTACTGAGAGAATTAAGAAGTTCTGAACTGAGACTGCATGAAGTCTATAGCTTCACTTCATCCAGCCTTCAGAGGCAGTGCTGCTAAATTCCAAAAAATTAATTTTCCGCCTAATGATTTCCTTTGGTTTTCCCATAGTGGAACATTTAAAAGCCTACAGATTCAAGAATTTAAAGAGCTGTAGGCAACGTTCAGTCACCTACTTCTAACACAGACCAAGAAACCCTGAAATTAAGGGCACAGGAGTGGTGATGACTTGAAGTTATGAGAATGAAGGAGCTCTTTGAAGAAGAATATATAAAGAGAAGATCAGTGGGCTGAAATAAATCTTGATTAATGCTTTCATCTAAGGGATGAGGAGAATAAGAAAGTCTTATATATATATTCACCTTTTAAATGAGTGTGTTCAAAAAAGGTAACTATAGGGGTGAGAGTGGATCAAAGGAAAGTAAACATGAGCAAAAGAAAGTCAATGATGTCATGTTTCAGAAAGGACAAGGAAGATATGGACTGATGGGAAAATTAAATGTGACAATTTGTTTATGGGTGACAAGAAAGAGACTACATTTGAGTAGGAGGAGAGAGAAATCAAGTTTTCAGAAGGTCAGCATTTATGACAAAGCATGTCAACCTATTTTTTGAAGAATATTGAGGTGAAAGGGTAGAAATCATTTTTTATTATCCTACTAACATTTTTATTACCTTTGACCTCTACCAAAAGGTATATCTAATTTGCAAATCCTATTTTTCCCTTTATAACTATTTATTGAAAAATAAATTATTCTAAAACATTATAGAACTAAAGAATGAAATTAAACAATGTTTTAGCAAGCTAGAACTGGTCCCTTGACTCCCAGCTATTCAACCAGAAATATTTGTTTCACAGATCCTTTATCTCAACCATGCTATCCACAAGATTTCACTAAAGGAATTCAGGATTCTATTTCCCCTAAGAATTGTTTCTTTTTAATTGCAAAGGAAAAGAATATGGTTAATTTAACTGATAATTTAAAACTCAAATAAACTGCATCTAATTTTTATTTTAAACATATTCAGAAAACATTTATCTTATTTTATATAAAGAAAAAATAATAATCTGATCCAGGAAAGTGGCATAGTTTAGGGTTTGGGAACTACAAAGATAAAAGGAATGAACTGAAGAGATAAATCTAAATCCCGTAGAAAAAAGTATTAGAAAGCTATGGATTGTGGGAGGAAATTGTCATTCTCCAACCAGAAAAGAGCACAGTCTAATTTAACATTAAAACACTAGGAAAGGCCTCTTTGCTTTTTCTTTGTCACAACAATGGGGGGGTCCGTTCATTGCCTATGCTTATGTGTATCTTGCTTTATGACCTTATGCCTTGCTCTCACTCTGTAAACCTATCTTTCTCTTTCTCGGTAAACTTTGTTTCTTGCTTGTCTTTTGCATTTTTTCATATTGAAAAGATAGCACTGCCCAAGAGCCAATAATAAATGAAAATTGAAAAAAAAACACACAATGTAAAAGTAATAATGAGCAAATACAACAAAAAGAAAAATAAATAAATGATATTTAAACTAAAAAGCTCTTCAAAGCAAAAGAAATAGACAATCTACAAAATGCAAGGTATATATTTGACAAAGAACTAATATTGGCTCGGTGCCTGTGGCTCAAGTGGCTAAGGTGCCAGCCACATACACCTAAGGTGG